CCGGCAATTGTCCCTTGCACGTCATATAATACTATAAGTGCTGAATCATTGTTTTTCATGTATCGGTTACCCAGTGTCATGCCTGATAATTAACAAACAAAAGTTATTGTATTTTCAACTCATAAAAGAATAAATCATGCTAGCTAATTAACTACAAAAGTAACGAAGTCAAGAGATCGTTCCATTTTCACCGCTTTGGTACCAAAATTAGTTCGCTCGTCTATCAGATTTGAAGTACGCATCCTATTGATACGGTATCATACATCACTCTTTTAAGAGTGACGATGTGAGAAGTGTTAGTATTCGGATATACTCCTAAAGTCTAGCATCGTTCGTCACGAGACAGTAGTTGATTACATCATTCTGAAACTTAAACTATCAGAACACAAAATCAATCCTTGTACGAAGCTAGAGTCGAACACGCGAACTCGGTCTTTGCGGACGAACTGCCAAAATCAACTTCGGTGTTCTTTCCTACCCAAGTAAAAATCGTCTATGGAGAGGAGCTAGCTCTAACACAGACGTAACCGGACGGTTATCTACGACGCGGTGCTAGGTAAATGTACCTTTTTACTTAGTTAGCTAGCTCAACCTAGTAGTAAACCGAGCACTAGGTTATCATATCGAGTGGGAGCGGGAGGTTGGCATCTAGGTTAACCGCCCAGTTAACCGACCGCTTAACCTAGCTCCGAAGACGAAAAATATTTTATAAGAGGGAGGTGGTCAGCTAGGTTAACCGGGAGCTTGGTGCACCCGGTTAACTGGACGCTCCAACCTCCCGGTTAAGCTAGCTTAAAAAATAAGAAAAAAAGAATATGTGCTTAACGAGAATGGAACTAGCTGACTAATGCGCCATCAGAATCGAGATAGAAGTACTCTACGTTTTAACCAACTAAGCTACCAGGCACATATGTAGCAGTCGATAAGTGGTGAAATCATTGAGACGATATTTTAGAGATTGGTGTTTTAGGTATCAAGGAAATATTTCTGAGAGTTGAATCTGGAACACGAAACGTAGCAAATTTATTTTACTAAATTTCATCTGTTGAGACCAGATTTTTAGAAATCATTCTTCATGGTGAAAAACAGTAAATATCGTTTTTCACTGTGAAGATTGATTTGTACGAATTTGAGTCCAGCAGATAAGAGTTACGAAGTTGGATTTGCCACATTTTGGCTATGAAAGTCAATTTTGAGAAACTCTCACTTCATTGTGAAGAATCAGGAAATAGCCATTTGGGGTATATATTAATGATTTTTCATCATGAAAAACGATTTTTAAAAATCTGGTATCAATAGGTAAGATTTAGAAAATTAAATTTCCTATATTTCATGATCGAGACCCAACTCTCTCACTTGAAGAGATACAATCCGGAAATAAGTTGTGAGTTTTTTAACAATAGACATATCAAAGAGTTTTAGGCTAGGCAGATCTCAACACGTCTTTGACAATTTGAAACAATGTATCATAATCTGAAACAGATGCTGCACAATATTATCCGATTTCCTGTGATTTTCAGACAAAATAATTCTCTACAGGATTATATCAGTTTTTACTGTAATAGCGTCTTATCTGATTAGTCAACATCGACTATATCATCGAAGTCACAGCTTCAATGGTCGCATATTATACGATCATGCTAAATTTCGTTAAAGATCATGATCTTAGAAGCTAGTTCACCCGGGTAGGAAACCGATCTACCTAGCTTAACTGCCCATTCCTAGCTCATTTTTTTTGCTTCGGTATATTCTGCACAATGACTGGATGTTTTCCTTCAACGTATATTTTTTTGTTGTGATTTTTGAAAAGCTCAACACTTACCATTGCACGAACCCGGGATTTTTGTATATTTCTCTTGGACTGCTTCAGTGACCGTTTTTGGTTGCTTGACGAAATATTCTGGTGATAGTAGATCCGGACCCCATGTTGCCGCAAGTTCCTCCCACTTTGGGTCTGTATTTGAACCAAAGGACAATCCATGACCTTAAAACAGGAAAAAACGTTTTAACCTAAATATCCGAAAAAAGTTGTATAATCATGGTACCAGCTGAAACACAAAACAATACTAAAATAATAGACTTCATATTTGGTAACTCGTTTTTTTTATGAATATAAATACCCTCTTAGTGCTATTGTTGGTCGCGTATAAATAGTCTATACCTTGTTGTTGTTATTTGACAGTGATTAACCTTTCTATAAGGACAAATGCTGAGGAAATACTATACGATAATTAAATTTCAAATCGTACAAAAATCACTTTCTTTAGTAAAGCTATCTTTTTACTTGTAACAAACCAAATATGTAATATGATCATTGTGTCTTTTTCAAGGATAGGAACATAATAGGATTTGATCATTCAATAATTAAATTAAATAGAATGCAATGTGGTATCAATATGTCAGCTAGGCTTTATTCGTTGAAAGACATTAAACAGTTATGTACGTGGTGCTAGTCAATTAGAGAAGGGCAAAGTGTGTGGCACGACTGTCTTTTGTACTACTCTGGTAAAAGACTTTGGTGCTTACGCAGCAAACAAAATCGAAAACATTAAAAAGTCGAAATCTTAAGTCACATCAAATCTAAGTAAGGCTAAACCTGAATTTCTCTAAATGGTTTTATCTTATTTCCACATACGCAGCATTAGAAAGGTAGTTTTAGAACACACTGATCTCTTTATAGTACCTCTTGCTAACATGGCATAATTTGAATGGATTTTGACTGAGTTATGAATGTTTTGATTTTACTCAGAAATAGGCAAAAATGGGTTGTTTCGCGTCATGTAGATTTTCACTAGGTTTTTTGTAACTTATTTGAAAAATAAATGTCGCCACGAGATTCAGGGTGGTTGATTACCTATGTTTCCATTCGGTTTTGGAATTACCTCTCCTAAACAAATAGATTCTGAGACTCTCAGGAACCTCGATGCCACACCTGAACCACGAAAAATTAAGAGTTCGCTTGATTCCCATTTCGGAAAGAACACTTTTATCCAATAATATTTTTATATATTTGTGAAGTAGACGTCTCAGGCGACATGCCCGTATACCCATCTCAAAAATCGACTTTTTGGAGGGGCGAGGGACGACCTTGAAAGTGCATTGAAACAATCTTTGTTTGCGACTGCTGAAATGTCATAGTTGTCTAAAAATTCCGAAACAAAGATTGTTTAATGCAGCTTTTAACGGTGATTCGAAATCTAGTATTGCTTTTAAGAAAAATTTGAAATTTGATGGTGAAAAGTGCAAAATATGAGTGCATTTCCTTGACTTTTGTCGTATTTGAATTAAAATGGATTGGGCCAATGGTATGTAGAATTTGTTTACTCAAAATGGCATCATCCGGAAATCGCCACCGCCGCGAGTTCGTGTTTAGGTTGTTCTTTGCACTGCTACGCATTTGCACTTGAACACTTTAACAGTTTTGCACTTTAGTACTTGTACACTGTTGGAGTTTTGCACTTGTACACTTTCATACTTTAGAGCTACAGCCTAGTCATCAATCGAGTTCGACTTTCGAACTCCACTTCGATCCGTTTTTTCAACGGATTTCAGCTACATTCACAGATTTCGATACACTGAAAAATTGTGTAAAATCGCTTTCTCTATAAAATCTGATCCAAACTCAGGTGAAAAAAGTGGGACGAGAATTTAAAAGATCGCGGAAATATCATTCTTTCGATGCCGGTTGACAAATTCTTAAGAAAAATCAGGTAAAAGATCTCGGTTACAAAAGCTAAGTTTTTTTAAGGGAAAAGCATTGATTAGATCGAGAGAAAAAGTCTAATTAAGCTTATGCTGAGATAAACATGTTTTAGATCTCGCAATATTTGAGTGTACAAATTGTCTTTATTCTCCATCTAATTTATACTAGTTTTCTAGTAAATGTGCAGATTCATGTATTTAACAAAAGAAGTGAAAATAGACAGAGAAACACTCAAACTTGTGTGATGAGATATTATCATTAGTACCAATCGGAGAAATGTGTATGCTAATATAAAAAAGATTATAGATTGTCAAATGATGTGATATGCTTCCTTGATGACAGTATTATATAACAAGTACATTTCTAGTTAGTAAATATGTTGATATTCTTTTCATACTCTAAACACACTTCGACCAACTAGATCGCTACATCTTTGTACGACATGTACAATTTTCAAGATCTAAACCATGTTTTCTGGTCATACAAATGAATCAGGATATATTACATACTTCTGACATAAAAAGATTTAGTTTCGTAACCAAGATCTTTTGCATGTTTTTTTTTGTTTGTCAACCAGGATCAAAAACATGTTATTTCCGTGAGCATTTCTCATTTTTTCCAAAAAAGTGGGTCAAAATGAAGGAAAGTTGGGCCGAAGTAATTATAGTCCGAAATCACCTACTGAAAAGTTTTCAGATTTTTAATCCTACTCGATGATATTTTAACAAATTTTCTTAGTTTTCTTACTTGGTTCGTTTCATCAAATAGTTTAAAATAAATGTCAAATAATGCATATTTTTCCAATGTATGCAATAACCTCAAATGAATATTCTCATAAATATTTGAAAATATTGAATACAATCCATCTAGAAATGATGTTGCTTCAGCATTAATTAAAATATTACTAAGTAACTCTTTTCTCCAATCACGATTAATACCATTATTATTCAATAAATAATGGTTTAACTTATTTTGAAATAAACGGGATAAATGAGTTTTCCTATGTTCAAAATTATCTAAGAGATAGTTTTTTCTTGAGTTTATATCAATCCGATATGTTATCGGTATATTATAAACAATTTTTGATAAATTTAGTATCATTAAATCATCGTAAATATTATCAAATATGCTTACATTTTTATTTTGATATTTTATAAATGAATGATAAGTTCCATCTTCTAATAATTCTTTTGGTATCAAATAATTTTCATTTAGATCATCAATCACTGTCGTTTCCCAATTATCAAAAACGAAATTAATTGTCGTTTTCGACATTGAACTGCGACATAAATGAAAAATAAGTAATATGTTTTTATTATCAACATCTTTATACTTTACACAAGCATTTAGTATTGTATGTTTAAATAATGATATATGTTTTTCATCTTGTTTATAATCAATATGAAATACAAGCAAATTGTATGTATCTGATTCAAAATAATAATTAATACTTATTTGTAAATCGAATATAGAACTGCTATGAAGAACATGACTTACAATCTTGTACGAACTGATGAATTTAAAGAAAGAAACGTACAGCTATGCCAACTACAAGTTCTCCTTGAGTTATTTTTCTTCTTTTTCTTCTTTGTCTGTTCTATCCTTCTTATCTATTCGCTTCTTTTTATACCATCGTTTGTTCGAATGTCTATTACATTCCTGATGATGCC